ACTCATCAAGCATATCATCAAGTCAGGGAATAGGGAAACGATACTTGATGGTGATGTTATTAATGGCCCTACTATCCACACACATCCTCCATGTACCATCCTTTTTCGGAACCAAAAGAGCCGGAACCGAACAAGGGCTAAGGGATTCCCTCACAAATCCTCTTTTAATAAACTCACCAACTTGTCTTTGAAGCTCTCTTGCTTCATCGGGGGTACACCTATAAGCCGGTCTATTAGGGAGTTGTGATCCGGGAATAAGATCAATTTGATGCTCAATTCCCTAATAGGTGGCAAACCGGGGGGGGGGGGAGATCATCGGGAAAAATATCATGGTACTCAACCAATACTTCCTTGACAAGGGGGTGGATTGGGTTCTCTTGCTCACTCTCTTGTGTTTCCCTAATAAGACAAATAAAGAAAAGGTGTCCTTGATCTATCTCCTTTCCCATCTCATTTTCCCCAATGAGAAGGTTCTCTTTGATTGTGTTTCTCGTACCCAAGGGTTCTTTGTGTTTGATGGTGGGGGACAAGGGGTTGAGTACAATCTTCTTCTTATTCATCATGAATGAATAAGTGTTCTTTCTTCCATCATGCATTACATCTCTATCAAATTACCAAGGTCTACCAAGCAATACATGACAAGCATCCATAGGCAATACATCACAAAGCACCAAATCCTTATATAGCTTGCCAATTGAGAAAGAAAGAAGAGTTTGTTTCGTTACCTTCACCTCATGTGATTGTTAAGCCATTGAAGCTTGTAGGGAGTAGGATGATCGGTAGTTTCAAGATTGAGCTTGGAAGATATTTTCCCTTTGCTCTTCCGCCTAAGGGGTAGAAATGGAGTGAAGTGCCCTCCTCACAACAAGGATTTTACCCTCATCGGTTTCAACTAGAATCTCATCCTCTTCATCATATATAGGGTCTCCAAAATCCCTCTTCTCATCTTCGTAATCATCATCTTCCATTTCACGAATCATCATAGCTATACTATTTGGACACTCATTAGAAAAATGTCCATAACCCCTACACTTGTAGCAAGTCTTCCGATTTCTCATATTGTTGTGATCATCTTTTCTAAAAGAGTACATGGGAGCCTTTCCTTTATCATCCTTGGCAATGGGCTTGCTTGTCTCACCCTTTGGAGTAAAAGAACTCTTAAAGGTAGGCTTAGTATACCCACTAGCACTACTCACCTTGTCATACTTCTAAAACTTCAAAGCTTTTTGCACCACTTGATCAAAACTTCCATGGGCATTCACATCAACCTTTTGCCCAAAATTTCTTTCAAGACCACCAATATACCTAGAAATCTTATGCTCCAGTGCTTCTTCAATTCCACTCATGATAGAAAGCTTCTCAAACTCCCTAGTATACTTCTCTACCGACATAGTTCCTTGCTTAAGAAAGTTTAATTTAAGATAAGCATCTTGAAAATAATCTTTAGGCACAAAGGCCTAGCTCATATGTTTCTTCAATTTCTCCCAAGAAGTGATTTTTGATTTTCCATCTTTCTTCCTACGATTCTTTAAGTTCTCATACCACAAAGAAGCATGTTTTTTTTAGTTTAAAGATGGCCAATTTGAAACATTTTTCATCATTATAACCCTTATATTCAAACACATTCTCCATACTCCTAACCCAATCAAGAAATTCATTAGGATCAAGATTATCTTCAAAGTCCGGAAATTCCAACTTGATGTCACGGTTGTCCTCATGGTGTCGTTGACGGTATTCCTTTCTCCGGCGAGGATAGTGAGAGTCATCTTCTTCAATATGGCTCCCCCTCCTTCTAGGACTTCTTCTATTCTCCAAGACCTCAAGAAATCTATCAAACTTCTTTTCTAGAGCATCCAATTTAGAGTTTTCATTGTAACCTTCATCATCTTCATAATAGTATCTATCACCCATGTTTCAAGATAGAAATCTTGTATTTTTTTAGAGAAATTTTAAATTTTTGTGGGAAAAGATGAGATCTTTTGAGAGGGGAAAGAGAAATTCAAAAAGGTAGGACCTTTCTAGGCTAATAACCTAGGGTCTTGATACCAAATGATATGAAATAACCAACAAATTAAAACCCAAGAAAAAGGGAGGAGAAATCAAGTAACAACAAGTTCAAACCAACTAAATAAGACAAACCTATCTCAAAATCACCAAGATAATGAAAATAGGGGTCTTAATCAAAGCCAACACCAAGTAAAGCTAGGATTAAGGTATAACCACAAAGATTACAAGGTAGAAATCACAAAGAAAGCAAGATAATCACAAAGATTATGGTAGAGAGAGAAAGTCTCTTTAATTACAAAATCAAGCAAAGTTCAACATTAATTAAGATGCAAAACATCTTAAAACAAATTAAATAGTTCGCACAAACTGACAAGAAAACGGGAAAAGGTTCGGCCGAACTAAGGGTAAGTTCGGTCGAACTTGTGGGTAGGTTCGGCCGAACTAAGGGTAGGTTCGATCGAACTGTCATGCTCCTAGTTCGGTCGAACCTTTGGATTTCGACCACTGCTGCAAAACTGAAAAAATCGGGTTTGAAACTGACAATATGGTTCGGTCGGACTTCCTAGGTTCGGCCGAACCTCTTCAATTCTTCTTGTCTTCAAGTGTGATGATGGTTAGTCCCAATTAAAAGGTGACCTCCAAGGAGCTTGGCCGGACATCGTGTCACGACACATGGTAAGTCTTCCACTTCTTCCACTAAGTTCCATGCACGCGCGTCAGTTGATGTGTATTTTTCAATTGAAATAGAGATTGTTTGGTAATTTCGATCTCGATGGCTGCGGTTGGGGTGGTTGCGGATGGGATGGTTATGATGTTTGGCGAGGATGTGGTGGCTGTGGTGTTTAGCGAGGCAAGAGGGGAAGCCAACATTGGGTGGGGTTGGGGTTAGGGGTTTCGGGTCGGGATGAGGGAGGTCAGATAGCGGGTGGATATGGTGTTTTCCGAGATGAAGGAGGGTCGGGGTCAGGTTACGGTTTGAGCCATAGCTTTTTCGATGAGAGAGGGAGAGGGCAGTGGGTGGGGTTGGGGGCTCTGGTGAGCAGGGGTGGAGGGTTGGGTGATCGATGGTTGTTTTTTTTTTTTTTTAATATTTTAAAACCAATTAATTTGTGACACATGTCACTTTCATTAAAAAAAAAAAATTAACCCATTCAACTGGTAATCGGTATTTGGGATTGAAGAAATTCACGACCCCCTAAAGTTCGAATTATTCCAGTATAATCCAAAGTTGGGATTATTCTACCAAAATTAATAAAAAAGTTGGATTATTATTTCTAATTTTTCCAAGAAAAAGAGAGAGAGAGAGAGAGAGCACATAATATATATTGAAAAATTCAATCTAATTACTCTTTGCTTTTAAGCAATGCGATTATTAAAATTAAAATAAAAACCCATATATCCACTAAAAATATATTTTAAAAAGTTGATTACAGAATACTAATTATCATATAGTAATATAAAATCAACTAAAATTTTGTATTATGCCGGTCAAAGTGTGTCAACAAATTATAAGGATAAATGTACATGAATTCAGATATGGGTACTAACCTAAGATAATATTTTCATTTTCTTATATAAAACCTTATAGATTCTAAATTTCTATTTATGTTATTATTATTATTTTTTTAATATAAAATTCAATTCAATAACCTTTATGCATTTGGTATTGGTATAAATTAAAATTCAAGTTATTTTGTTATAAATATGTTTTTTTGGATAAATTATTGTTGAATTAATACCATTGTTTATAACTTTTGTTATAAAGTTTAATTATAACCGTGCATGGCACAAGACTTAACCTAGTATTACTACTATAAATAAAGTACAATAGCCTAATTAGGCCCTTTTTCTCTTGGTGCCCAAGTTGATTGCTTCCAGAAATTTTTATATACTCCCGAGTGTACCGTATACCCAACTATCCTAATGTTAGTTTTTATTTTTCATTTAATGATTAAATGAAAAACAATAATTAAATAAAAACAAGATACTCCCTCCGTTTTTAAATACTTGTTCACTTTCCTTTTCCGGTCGTTTTTAAATACTTGCTCCATTTCCTCCTTTGAAAAACTTTTCAATATTTAATTCATTTCTCACACTTAGGGCCTGTTCTCTTCCGTTGAAATTCAGTTCAGCTCAGTTCAGTTCAGCTCTTAATTTATGTCTAATGATATTGCTAATGATATAAAGCCAAATTTTATTCTTTTAAGCTCTTATTATAACAACAACAACAACATTAACAATAATAATAATAATAATTATAATAATAATAATAATAATAATAATCAATAATCAATAAGTAATAAATAATAATAATAATAATAATAATAACAATAACAATAATAATGATAATGATAATAATAATAATAATAATAATAATAATAATAATAATAATTTGGGGTTAGATACTAGTTAGATACATGTATTAATTAAAAAATTAAAGAGAGTGGGTTAGGGTGTTGCACTATTGGGCCATTGCCTCTGTTAGCTTTTCGTGTTTTTTTCTTTTTTTTTTTAAATATTTTTTGTAAATTTGTTTAAATGGGTTAGATACATGTAAGTGTTTTGTGTTCTTTTGTCATAATACTATTTTATTTTTAAATTAAATACTATATGTGTTTAAAATGTTTAGAGGTTTCAAGTTTTTAATATATTTTCCATAAATTTTATAATTATATAGTATATTTTTCGTAAATATTTCAATATGTACATTTGTATATACACATATGTATAGTAATTAATCAATAAATAATCAAAGATCACTAATCCATAGTTAAAAATCACTAATTAATAAGTTCAATTAGCTCAGTTCAGTTCAGTTCAGTTCAGTTCAGTTCAGTCAATCAGAACAATCCCTTAGTGGACCCAACATAATACTCTTCTCTACTCCTATTCTTCCACTACTTTTGCTTTTTACAATTTTTTATTTACTCAACTACCCCACTACCTCCATTTTATATTACTTTTTCTATCGTCTCCTAAAACTCCAAAACGGAGGGAGTATTTGTGGATGCATGCTATTAGGGACGGGCCGGGCCGGGCCGGTCTCATTTTGATACTTTTCTAGTCGCACAGCACTCAGCCACTCCTCACATCGGAAATTCAAACAACCAACTTCTCCAAAATTATCACATCACAGATTCACAGTGAAGTTGTGAACTGAGTCACCAAAGTAAGAAGAAGAACCCAGATTCAACGACGCAATTAGTCTTCCCCACCTAAAACTTCCCCAAAATGGCAGGTATTTTACTACATTTGCGCATTTCATCTTCCATAACTTTTTTCCTCCAATTTTGTTACAAAAAAAAAAAAATTCAAGCTGAAAAATAATAATCATAAATTTCGAAACTTTTTGTGTGCAGGTAAACGAAATTCAAATTCAAATCGGTCTACACCGAGCAAATGGTTGGCCCAAAGTCCGAGCAAAAGATGGGGGGAGTTGTTTTTCCTGCTCTACACTCCCTTTTGGCTTACTCTTTGCCTTGGGATTGTTGTCCCCTTCAAATTATATGAGGTTTTACTTCTAATTTCTTCTTTAATTCATCATTTATGGCCATAATTTTTCTGGGATTTCTTAGATTTTTAGTAGCATATACAAATACAAGTAGCAATTTTGGGTTGACTTTGAGTTAAGGGTAGTTATAATTTTTCAAATTTTATCACATTTACATGCCTTAGTTGTCTAGAAATTTTATTTTAATTATAAGGCGTAGTAGAGGGCAGTGATGTTGACGGGATTTGTTCCAAGTGTGATTTTATGACATATTGAGATGTTTATGAATTATGATATCATATTGTAAATTAAGTGGTAGTCAAAGTTGATAACAAGATTATGTGATTTTATTCTTGAGAACTACATAACTTGTGATATTTGAATGATTAGATTTTATGTAATACAATGTGGTTATTGACAGAATTTTAAAGAGCTGGAGTACTTGCTTTTGGCTATGATTTCAGCTGTACCATCATTTGCCATACCAATGTTTTTTGTTGGGAAGGTAATGTTTTGCTACTACACCCTTTATACGAGTAAAAAAGACTACCTGGATTCTTATCATTGTATGCGTTGGTTTAAGTTGATATAAATGCTGGTTTTCAGGCTGATGAAGGTACTCCCTTGAAGGATCGTTATTGGGTGAAGGTTAGTTATTTTATTTTACCATATCAAAAGCTTTAGATTTGTTCGTGATTTGATAAGATGTTGTTCACCTAATAGACACGAGCTTCAATAGTATCAAACACTAAAAACGAGCTGCATCAATTGTTTGTTTGTTATTATCAAAACTAAGAGTCATACAGTATAGTTTCGGGTATTTTGATTGTTTATGTTTATGAGAAGTTGAACTGTTGAAGTTTATGATATGGAAGTTTTTGGAGCATCTGAATATTGCCTTTAAACTTTGGTATTCTACTAATTATGTCTCAGTTGGCTACTTGCAAATGCTGTACTCTATTGAGTCTTTTCTTTCTACGCTACAATTTTGGTTCCTATTTCTAATCATCCGTGGATTGAATGTTAAAGCATCTGATGATTTCTCTTCAATAATTTGAAATCTTCAGGATGTAACATATTTGATGCTGTAATTTCTCCTTATTGCAGGCGAGTATCTGGATCATATGCTTCAGTTATGTGGGTAATTACTTTTGGACCCACTATTTCTTCAAAGTGTTGGGAGCTTCATATACCTTCCCATCATGGAAGATGAATGATGTGAGCCACACTGACTTAATAGTCACTTGGTGCTGAAATCGTTTGTCACCAAAACTCTGTTGCTAACTTTTATTCCCTGTTGTAGGTACCACACACAACTTTCCTGCTGACTCATGTTTGTTTTCTATTCTACCACGTTGCTTCAAATATGACACTTCGAAGATTACGCTATGCTCTTGCTGATGTTCCTGAGAAAATACGGTGGATAATGGAGGGTGCATGGATTCTAGCCCTGTCATATTTTATTGCATACTTGGAGACTATAGCAATTGCAAATGTATGTGGACTCTTTCTGAACCCACTATTCTTGTGATACCATCATAATTGGTACATTATTGCCTTAGTTCATCTATTTTATGCAAGTTCTTCATATTGTTTTGGTTGATCTACTAAACTAGCATGCGTCATTCTTGAATGTCCTGTAATTTGACTAGCTTGACGCTGCTAATCCATCCCTTTACTAAGTTAGGCTTAAGACATTAACAATTGGACCTCTCTAAACTTTGTCCAGAAAAAATGGGAGCTTACCAATTCCGCATCCCATCAATATCAATACTACATAGGCTTCTAGTGTATTTTCTTGAAATTCTATTTTTGTACTTGTAAGGTCCAGTAGGAATAAGCATAATGCTTAGCATTAAGCTCTCTCTCTCTTTTTCTTGAAATTCTTTTGATGGGGGTGGGGGTTAGCTAGAACACCTTCTTTTTCTCTTGAATTGTTTTTGTTCGATGGCTTAGTAATTGCTTGTGATTACTATCATCAAGATCAATAGGATTGCCTTTAACTGTATCTGATGTTTTGCCCAATCATACCGATTAATCATCTAATAATTCCTCCTATGGCTGCTATGGTTGCCCCGTGCTCGTTTAAGGGGGGGAGTTTTACCAAACTATGTGCTCTCTGAAATGAGTACATGCTCCTTACATGTTGAATGTGTGAGTTACGACTAATGTCTACATCTTTGAATGTGCAGTTTCCGTATTATGAATTTGTAGACCGAGACGCAATGTACAAAGTCGGATGTTTGTTTTATGCAATTTACTTCATCGTAAGCTTTCCCATGTTTCTGAGGTAAGTTTATGCAGTGGACTGAAACTTATTGCATTTAGTTATCCAAGACTCTGGAATGATATTTGGTTTTCAGAAGCAAAGTATCTCATTAATCTCATTTGCATCTCCTCTACCTCTATGCTAAATACATGTATTTTGTATGGTGAATTTTCTACTTCAGAATTGATGAGAAACCTAGCGACAAGTGGGACTTAGCAAGGGTTGCTGTAGATGCTCTGGGTGCAGCGATGCTTGTCACGATTATATTGGATTTATGGCGCATTTTCTTGGGACCAATAGTTCCACTTCCAGAAGAAAAGCTGTGTGCTCAAGCAGGGCTACCCTGGTTTGCAGATCATGTATCAGCTTGAGAATTTGAGATTATTCTATCATCGAAAACTAGTACCTAACAGGCAGAACAACGGTAGTAAGAATACGAGCAGAAGATACTTTTGTACCAAAATTACCCAATCTTGTAAAAACAATTTTTCAACCTGTTTTCATTTTTGTTTCCCTTGCTAGCCAATATGAAAGAATACTGTATTCTTGTAAGCATTAAGGAAGCAGGCAGAAGATCTCTATGGTAAAAGCCAAGTGCTCAAGTGATCTCTTGCCCGTGTATTCTTAATCACCTGCTGCAGCCGAAGATGCGTGGGAGTGTTTCATATCAAATAGCGTTTTAAGACTGTCAATTTTTGTCGGAATTTGCTTCTTTTTTCAAACACATTTGACATTCAAGCAATCAATCATGGTTTCATAACTTTCAATAAAGTTTTTGTATGGAGTAACTATTGTACCAAATAATAAGCCACTGATTAAATATTAATTGCCGATAAGGTATCATGTTGTACTATATTACAGAGTAGTTCCAAATGCAGTAAGTTATTTGAACCTAAACTCTTGATATGGATGTCTATTCACTAAGAATTTAATTAAATGATGATACCTATGCGTCACAGTACATTTACATTGTGCATTACTACTCATATAATCCTACATACTAAACTTGAGAAGCTTATTAGTGCAATTGTTCGATTAAGAATGTCTAGCTTATTCGGCTTGTGAATAAAACTTACGTCGAATTAAGTATGGAGTAATTACATAAAAGATTTAATTATGTATGAAATTCCTGAAATGTTCTCTCTTTTCTGGAAAATTTACAATTTTGCTTGCTAATTTGCAGAGGAAGTGAGTCATATTCACGAGCCGAGTCAGCTAGACAATCTTGAATATTTGAAACTCCCAGGTTTAGTATGAAGCACATATGACTATATGAGTAGACAGAGTAGTAGTGCATCTGTTTAATTGAATTCTTAGTGCATCATACTTTAGACATCCATTTCATGAATTTATTTTCAAACAACTTGCCGCATTTGTAAATTAAATTGATATTGATATTGATTACAACGTGAGAATACGTATCTTATTGGCAATTCTCATTAATTAGTGGTTTATATATAGACGACACTAGCTACTATAATTACTAAACTTAGGAAGTTTTAGAGATTAATTTGAAATAAAATAAGCACTTAGCACTTACTGAGTTTGTTACGTAGAGAATTTGCTTACTAGTGATATGTGTATAAATATAAATAACATTGCAGATATGCAGAACTCATCATATACTTCAATTTTTTCATTGAAAAATAAAATAACTCATTTTTTTTTCATTTGATCTTCATTTCACAATAAAGGAAATCTCTAGTTTTTTTTGGTGTTTATAAAGTCACAACAAAGCGGGGTGATGAGAATCAATCCAAGGGTCTCCTGTAATCAGGAGTATCCCTTACTTATATATGGTTAGAGTAACCGCCATGGCATTACCTCAATCACTGGCTTCTTCTTACAGGCATTAAGGCCGATTCCTTGACCAGTGCTTTCGGGTTTAGCTGCTGGTGCTCCACGAGTTTTCAATTCATTCTTGAGACTACTGATCGATTACATGGCTTCAATTGAGTTAATGCCATGGCAGTAGTCTAAAGAAATAAATTGAAGCCTTGTGGAGCACCAGCAACTGAACCCAAAAGCAACGGTCGAGGAAAGTGGCCTTGACGCTGGTAAGTAGAAGCCGGAGTTTGAGTTAATGCCATGGCAGTTAATTTAACAAGATGTTGCATTAAACTTATTTATTGGAGGGGGATCAATTTATTTATCTATTGTTCTTGGTATGATATATACAAAATATTAGTGAGTATTGTTATGTTCATGTTTATACAATTAAGGTGAGAATTTGCTCGTCAAAAAATAAAGAAAAAAAAAAATAACGATTGGTGAATGATACAAGTACTTTTTTTTTTTTTTTTGACGTTTATATTGTATCACACCTACAATATAGCTTAATATATTTACTCGTTTTAGTTGACATATACCGTATATATATAAAATTGCATGCAGGGTTTATTAATGAAGAATGTGTCATATGTACTCCGTCTTTATTCAATTGCAAATGGAGAATTGCTTTGGACACTTCCAACGTGTAGGCATAACGTTCCTTTGTCACTGCGTTGGTGATTGGTTCTCGAAACGTGACTGCCGTTATCCGATTTGTATGCATGATTATTATGAGGGGAATTATTGTACACTCGGGTACATTAGACTTTTTTCTTTTTGGATCATAATTTTTGTTGTACTTGTTAAGTTGTAATACATCGAGTTTGTTTTATGACATTATTGCTTTATCATCTTATTTAAGGTAGTAAGGAACTTTTTTCAAGTGATATATACATTTGATACCGCAATTGAGCTTGAATTGTTCCAGCGATGTTTTGCCAATTGATGAGCACATTAACATGTGGTTTGAACTTTGAAGATCCCTAGTATAGGCTAGAAGAATACGAATTTAAAAGTATCAATGCAATTTTTCATAATAAAATCATTCAATCAAATTTTTGATATTCATAAATATGTGATAAGAAGTAGATGTTCTTGATGAAAACAGAAAATAGGAAGAAGGAAGAGAGAGAAAATAAAATCAAAAATTTTATTATGGGAAAATCTGTAGCTATTAGTAATACCCCAAATCTCCCTCCACGATATTACTAGAAAAATACGTATATTTATATCGTAGAGATAGAGTTCGGCGTATTACCTCCGCGTGATTACGCAACGCTACCAAACTTACTAAATAAAACCAGTACTTTGCAGCGGAAACTTCAATACTCTTTTATTAATTCAACCATAATAATAACCATTGTCATGAGTACTCAAAATAAAACATAAAGACTAACATTTCCTAATTTAGGTGAAACCATTCCTGGGACTCCATATGCTCAATTATTGACTTCACCTGAAATTAGTCGACACTACTTACCATTAAGGTAAACAGGGAAAACCAAACAAGTAGAAAATACGGATTAGCAAAATATGCTAAGTATGATAAGTGCAAGATAATTAAACTCAATTTAATAGTAAACATGCATGCTTTTAAAACCAATTTCAATACTTAAACCAATAATTCCAATCCATGATTCAAAAGCAATTCCAATGATTTCAACAATAAAATCAATTCCTTTAAAATCAATTCCATTAAATATCCAAATTCCTTACTGTAGTCACCCAAATGCGTCTCCCCAAAAAACCAAACTCAGTGATGAATACCTTTCACATCATTTGATTATCGAACGAAGTGAAAGTGTGAAAAATCTAGTGATGTGGATGTTTTTATTAAAATATCTCTCTTTCTGTTTTTGAAAATATTTCTTCTTACACTCTATTTATGAAAATAGCCAGTCCAATAACATCATTTGATTGGGCTTGAAAAGAGCTTTCCAATAGTATATTATAAGCCCAATTCCGATAAATAATGAGGAAGTTATGGATTAAATTAAATTTGGCCCAAAATGATTTTATGTGTGGCCCAATGATCTAGAGAAGGTCCTATTAAATATTCCTAAAGTTATTAGGATTGATTTTAATCTTCTAGAATATCTAAAAGGTTCTTTTAAATTCTAATGAGATTAGGATTAATAATTATATTTTAAAGAGCTTTATTTTGAATAAAATATGTGATTTAAATTTGATAAACGCGGAATTAGTTGCTTAATCGTATTAAGAAGATGATTCCGCGTACAAAGCGCGTTTTAATTCTGACTTAGCGCAAGATGACAAGTCTGTCGCCTGGCGCTAATAGCTATCGCCTGGCGCTAACAGCTGTCGCTTGGCGCTAAGCCTGTCGTCTGGCGCTAACTCCTGTCATTGGCGACAAGAGGTATTTTATTCCGAATATGACTTGATTTGATTCCAGACTATTTTTTCTATAAATAGGGGTCGTATCTCCCCGTTTAATTTTCATCATTCACAATCATCATTTGTCTCTATTTTCTCTCTGTAAAGCTAGAAGCTTATTCTCTCTCTATTTTTTTAAAAACCTTCCCTCTTACAAAAATCCACATACATTAGTTCTAAACACACCTAGCCAAGTTCGAATTTGCCTTCTCCCTAGACATGAAAGGTTTATAATTCTTGAGGGTTTGGTCCCAAATCCTATTTCAATTCTTTGATTAGATTTATTATTTATTATTTTCCTTGAAGTTATTAATGCGTGTATTTTGTTATTAGAAAAAGATACGAGGCGTCGAAGTAAGTAATTTAATTTCTTTATTGATCTTTTGATATAGAAATCATGCTTAGATTATTTTGTTGATTCCTAATATCGTGTTAGGATGTTTTTGTTGCTTCCTAGCTAGTATTATGTTTAGGGTTAACTAATATTTCTGATATTATGTATGTTTATGATGCTTCCTATTTCTTTTCTAATATCATGTTAGTATCATATTAGGGTTAAAGCTTTGACCTTTAATGTTTAGTGACATGCTAGGGTTTGTTATTAATCTTGTTAGTATCATGTCTAGGATCTTGCTGTTATTATTTTGCTTTATTGAGATTATTATCATGATGATTGTCATTACTATGTTGCTTGATATATATTATTGTTATTGCTTGATCACACCTTTTATGCATGTTTAAAGGGGAATTTGTACTTGTAATCACGCTTAATAAGATAATTAATAATCTTGTTTAGGCTTATTTGATTATAATTCAAGTGATCGCCAATAGTAGTTTTGTTTGTGCATTAATATTCAACCAACATAGATTAAACAGGTTTAGGATTAATCTAATGATTGTATTTTAGTCAGAAAGCGCATATAAATATGAGCAGAATAAAGTAGAGGCCTATTTTTAGGGCAAGTTCAATATCTTTTAGGTTGGATTTGTACCTTCAGTTCCAGACCTATGGAGTTAGCGATTTCATGGATCGTAAAGGGGTGTAACTTCACCCTATGAACGATTTACAAGTTCCTAAAATTTGTTGGCGACTCTTTTACTCTAGCTTCCTTCCCTTTGGACGCCACCATTCTTAAGTGTATGATCACAGTGGGGCTCAAGTGTGGGATGCTTGAAATATTCCCTACACTTACCCATGTGTGCACACCCTCAAAGCTAGTCTCCTTATATATATTACAAGGCTATTCTTGAGGAAAGATGACTCGGTCATATAAAGTCCATTGTCTTATCAAATAAACCAAATTCACATAGTGGGATTACTAACATGCTTATAAAGCTTTAATAATAATTATTCAATAATTCAATAAATCATTTTTAACCATTCCAATATAATTCAAACTCCTTTATTAAATTCCACATGCTTTCAAAATCAACCTTTAAAACATGATTAATAATTTAATTAATCAAGACATGATATAAAATCAACCTTTAATTTATTTATTAAAAACAATCCTTTAATCATACATTTATTTCATAAACCCTTATTCAATAAAAGCATAATATCAAGATCAATTTATTAAAAACACACATTAAAATCATAATTTTTTTTCATAAATTATAATTCAAGTCAATTTAATTCAATCATCATAAATCATTCAAAACATGTTATTCAAACCAATTACTTTTAAAGGAATCTAGCCACCTAAACGTACCTTGATCCTTGCTTAGCAAAACCACACAAAAGTGAAGGAGTTGTGTCTTCGATAAGTGCAATTATTAGATATATCAAGGATCACTATTATGGAGGTAATAAGTTCGTTCTCTTGGGGCGTCATCATCTATTGCTAGACTATGAGAGATGATCTTTGGACTAGTCAAATAGTCCAAAGCCCGCTAGAATGGATCCAATGAGGTCACACAAGGGTATTGGGTTAAACAAGTTAGAGGCCCATTAATGGGCCTCATGAGAATTTAACTAATCATGAAAGGGATTGGGCTAGCATAGTTAGATTGGAATTAGGTTTTGAGCTTTTCACATGGGCTCTTATTTAGAGATGAGATCTATAAATAAAATCTATGCCTAGGGTTGCTCGCAAGCAGTCATAATTCACACACAGTGTATTTTGACATCAAGGCAACCAATCCCAAAACCCTAATTCCTCTCTCTAACTCACGGCTATTTCTCTCCTCCCCTCGTCCGTACGGCCGACCACCCTTGGTGGCGTGTGTGGTGGTTCGTGGTGGTTCATGGTGGTTCGTTGCTCGCTCTTCTCCATACAAGGTCAATTGAAGGGTTCAATTGCAACTAAATAGCATTAGTGGAGGTCTTAATATGTGCTTGTGGACCAAGTAGAGGAATCACGCTTGAGGTTCTTTATCTCCCATTGTTCTTGCTCGATCGCACGTGGAATCACGATTCAAAGGTATAATTATATGTTCTTTATGTGTTATGCATTAGATCTTGGGATTAGGTACCGTATGAATATGATTCATATTTATTTCCGCTGCGTAGTACCTATATAACCCTACAGTGGTATCAGTTAGCCTATTGCATTTATGCATATTGACAATAATTCTTTGATAATCCACAATTTTAATTCAATTAGGAGGGAGAAAATTTAATTATGGGTCAATTATTACATTAAATGTGATTTAACTCTTGGAATTGATTAAATGTGATTTAATAATGCTCAAAATAGCCATGAAGAGGACCGAATTAAGCCCTAGATCATTCGAAAATTTCGAACCCTAGAACCCTAGTTTTGGATTTTTGAAAACTCTAACCCTAATTTCGAATTATTTCGAAAATTCCTAGCCCAAAAATGTGTTTTTTGTGCTTGATTTTGATTTAATTCGATTTGTTTTATGTTTCATAATTTTAATCGGATTGATTTATGCATAAAAGTGTTTTGTGTATGATCATCGATTTAATTTTAAAAGTTAAAATTAATTTGGGATTAATTTTATGATGAACCCTAATTTTAAGATTGAATGTTGATTTAATTTTAATTTTTGGACCGATTTCATTTAATTTTAAGAAATGTTATTATAATTAAATTGAAAACAAAAAAAAATAGTTTTGAGGCCGGCAGCCGCGACTAGGTGATGCAGCCACGGTGGCTGCCGACCTGGTGGCAGTCCAAGAGGGAGGGAGGGAGGGCGGCGGTCCAAGGTGGTTATGGGCAGCAGCGTGAAAGCGTTGCGCGGCTGCTGCCACGTTGTTGCCCTTTGCGGCTACTATTGGCAGCCAGCCACCGTGGCTAGCTTCGGCTGGAAACCACGGTGGCCGGTGTGGTGGTGCACGTTTTTCAAAAAAAATTATTATTATTATTTTATTTTATAAATATGAATTATTTTGGATGAGATAAAATATTTTGAAAATATGATCTTTTATTTTGAAAGATAAATTCGGTTTTATTTGGATAAAATTAAATATTCAAAAGTTGTTATATTTGATATTATCCATATTTAAAGTTATTATTTTGGTAATTATCC